GTACTGGTAAACCATTTCTTGAGTACTTAGAAAAACCCCAGAAAGGGTTGCCATAAATTGAAATCAACTTGGCAGCACATAATAGAAGCACCCAACGTGGTACAGTGGGTAGAGTGAAGGACCAGGACTCCAGAGACCTGGGTTCAAATTCCTGCTTGGCCATGAAAACCCATGGGGGAGGATGGACCTTATACGTAACCCACTCTTTGAATATCTCACCTTGAAAACCCTATTGTATGCAACATGATAGCCCATAACCGTGCATGCGTGCATTGCAAAGATCCAGAGTTTAGTGTGTTGCAGGAAAAGCCTGCAACTGTACAACTCATACATGTGAAGGATGTATGTGGACAGCCTCTTCGGTGAGTGGAGAGTGGGATGAGAGGGTGGCATAGTGGCTCAAAAAATCAATCACATTGCCTAGGTATGGATTATTGCTAAAAACAATCATCTGCACAATTCTAATTGGGTATTTTAATGTTTATATCGGCTCTGAAGAAACTCTGATCGACAGGACAAAGTCCCTCCACCCCGCAACTTTCTTGTCCTTCTTCCTTTGCTATTCAATTTCCCTCTTTTATTGTGCTTACCAAGCTGGCTTCAGGAGAGCTGAGCTCTTGCAAAGGCCTCTCAATTCATCCAACAAGCCAGTTCTTGCAAAGTTCACCTTGCTTCTGTAAATTGGGAATAAATCCCCTTTTTAAGGAGGGGATTGCTTAGACAAAACTAATCAGTGTAAAAAACTAAGGGCATGGGTTAGGGTCAAAACCTCATAACTTAAAATGCCGATGAGGCCTATATTGGTAGCTTAATATTTGAAAAGAGAACACCATCTTATAAGCTATGCCTGACCACTGACCAACTGCTTCATTCAGTTTAGGGCTGGCGTTTCCCCCTCCTGCGCTGCCTCCACATGTCTCTGATTAGATTTATTTTCATTTTATTTCCCGTACATGTATGGCAGTCACTTAGCAACAACTAAGATCCGCATATTTGTCTTGGGTTCCCACCGGGTTTTGATTCACCGTGTGGGCGTTGGGAGCAGCGTCTCCCCTCCTCCCCTCCTGCTTTCCATTTCCGAGATTGTATGAATCGCAGACGCTGGGACACTGAAGCAAGAAAATCTGACCTTTCTCTTCCTCTCCCCCTTTCCTCTGCAGCCAATTTCCGTCTGGCACTTCCTTGGATTTCTGCAAAGAGGTTAACACAGGGGTCTTCCTGACCCCATGTGGCCTGCCTCGGAGTGGGGGGGGGGAGTGAAAGAATGCATCTTGGCTGCTTTTCCACCTATGTAATCCATTTCTGGCTTATCGGAAATTCCCCGGGCAGCTCCAATTACTTTACATCCTTCTCCTATAAATGATGTTTGCATAGTGTTGCTAATACAGAAGAGATGCCTCGACCGCTTAAGAAGAAGCTGTGCTCAACATACCCAAATCTAATCAAGATTAAGAATGTAGAAATCCACCTTAGAACGAGGCAAACCCTTGATTTGTTTAGTTCAGCAGTGTCCACGATGACGGACAGGGTCTCTCCCAAGTTTTCAAGTGCGATTCTTTCCTCGCACGAGCTGGTGATCTTGAGGACCAAAGATGGGGCCCTCCATGTGCAAAGAACATGCCCCATGACTAATCGCTGGGTAGCATAAGAAAGGAAAATGATGACAAATCTCGACAGCATCTTAAAAAGCAGAGACATCTCCTTGCCAACAAAAGTATGTATAGTCAAAGCTATGGTTTTTCCTGTAGTGATGTATGAAATTGAGAGCTGGACCATAAAGAAAGCCGACCGCCGAAGAATGGATGCTTTTGAATTGTGGTGCTGGAGGAGACTCTTGAGAGTCCCCTGGACTGCAAGGAGATCAAACCTATCCATTCTAAAGGAAATCAACCCTGAGTGCTCACTGGAAGGACAGATCCTGAAGCTGAGGCTCCAATACTCTGGCCATCTCATGAGAAGACTCCCTGGAAAAGACCTTGATGCTTGGAAAGTGTGAAGGCAGGAGGAGAAGGGGACGACAGAGGACGAGATGGATGGACAGTGTCCTTGAAGTGACCAACATGAATTTGACCAAACTCTGGGAGGCAGTGGAAGACAGGAGAGCCTGGGGTGCTCTGGTCCATGGGGTCACGAAGAGTTGGACATGACTAAACGACTAAACAATAACAAGCATAAGAAGTGGTTGGTGCCCCAGTGTCATTTGATTGTCTCTCAGATCTGCTTTGATTTCTAGTCGTGCCTTGAGCAGGGGGTTGGACTCGATGGCCTTATAGGCTCCTTTCAACTCAATGATTCTATGATTTATTCAGGACTGGTGGATACAGAAAGAACTTAGGAGGCTGCCACATACAGAGTCCAAACAACTCCCAGGGTTCTCAACCTTTGGTCCTCCAGATGAGGTGGCCTTCAGCTCCCAGCTCTCCCGGGCAGCATAACCAAAGGCTGAGGAATCTAAAAGACTTTTGCAGTAGGGTGCAAACCATGATTGCACTGTGCAGGGGGTGGCTTCATTGGAAGCAATCTCCCTTCTGTCCCTACAAGAATCACTCCACCCCAGTTCTAGAGAAGAGCACAAGCCTGCCACTGGACCAAAAAAGTTCCGCTTGGATTCAGAGCAGGGTCAGGTTAGTTCATTATATCCTGTGTGTCATATGATTGGAAGGAAATAACTCACAACAGAACATTCTACAAGTGGTCTGAAATGCAAGTGATTTCTCCATCTACAGTGGTGCCTCGCTTAATGATTGCCCCGCATTACGATGAATCCACTTTATGACGATCTTTTTGCGATCGCAATTGCAATCGCAAAACCATGGTCTAAATGGGGGAATTTCGCTTTGTGATGATCAGTTCCCTGCTTCGGGAACCAATTCTTTGCTAAACTATGTTTTTCTAACAGCTGATCGCGGTTTAAAAATGTCCGCCGGGTAATTAAAATGGCTCTCCGCTGTGTTTAGGGATGGATTCCTCCCTATACAGGCAGCGAAAATGGCCTCCGTATGGAGGATTTTCGCTGGATGGTGAGTTTTTTACCCCATTGGAACGCATTGAATGGGTTTCAATGCGTTTCAATGGGTTTTTTTATTTCGCTTTACCATGTTTTCGCTTAACAGCGATTTTCCTGGAATGGATTGTCGTCGTTAAGTGAGGCACCACTGTAATTGCACCCACAAGTCACCAATCGGCTCTCACAGATCGGCAAACATTCTCCGAGAGTTCAGACTGAAGTCTTCACTAGTACTCAGCTTGGCCGGAGACTGAACTCAGTCGGGACCTTTGACGTGCAAAGCCTTATTGGTTCAACCAAGGAATTGTAGCCCTGCCCACTCATGGCCCTAGCTGTGTGTCCATTTTAGGTGGAGTCTTGGCCCCCAAAGCAAGCGTGGTGTCATAGATAGCAGTTTCCTGCTCCAAAGATCCATGGAAGGCTACAATGGATGTGGCCAGAAATCTGGTTCCACCAGGAGGGGTCCGAGAGGGGCCCTGGGGCCACAGAGGCTGCATAAACTCCACCCACTTATACAGGGCTGCTGCTGAGTGGTACGTTCCACTGAGTTCAATGGGAACTATTCCAGGTAAGTATGTACAGAATTTAAGCCTTTGAGGGCTGTTTCAAGACAGGCTTCCGTCACCCAATGAGTCAGAAGGTCTTTTGCGGTTCTACTGCATTTTCCCCTTAATGGATTTCCGGAGGGAAAAACAACAAAAATACAGGAAGACAGGTGAGACCAAAGGATGACGGTTGTATAAAGAGGAGATGAAATTCAGGGAGTCCGAATTTCATTGTGAAACATCAGCATTGGGGTAAGAAGAATCAAGACAGCATGCACTGGAGGAGCCCCTGTGCCAAGATTTGCCGGAAGGGGGTGTGCTTCAAACCCAAGGAAGAGCTATTTATTATTATTTTTTTACTGATCCAATAAAAGGTATCACCTACTCTTGCATTTGCTGGGAAAGGAGGATATTTCGATGACCGAGACATTCGCAGCGTGCTGGAAAGCTCAGTGGTTTAGGCATCTTGGTTCGGAGCAAGAGTTTGGACGTTCGATTCCTCCTTGACGGGGGGGGGGCTGGACCCCGTGATCCATAAGGGTCCCTTCCCGCTCTGCAGTTCTGATATCATCATTATTACTAGGTCTCCCAACGTTTCTTAGAAGCAACTGGGATTTTTATATAATAAATGATGACCAACCCCTTTTGGCCCCTGGTGTATGAAATCACTGCATCAGAAAGACACCCCCCCTTCCTCCTAAATGTCTCGAAAAAATCAACTTCTTGGAGAGTGAGAGATGGACAAAGGGATCTTAGGTTTCACGTGCTAATTTTTTTTTAAGAAGTTGGTCAATTTAGAAAGAAAGAGAGATCTGCAGTTCTGATATCATCATTATTACTAGGTCTCCCAACATTTCTTAGAAGCAACTGGGATTTTTATATAATAAATGATGACCAACCCCTTTTGGCCCCTGGTGTATGAAATCACTGCATCAGAAAGACACCCCCCCTTCCTCCTAAATGTCTCGAAAAAATCAACTTCTTGGAGAGTGAGAGATGGACAAAGGGATCTTAGGTTTCACGTGCTAATTTTTTTTTAAGAAGTTGGTCAATTTAGAAAGAAAGAGAGAGAAAAGGCAGGCAAGCAAGCAAGAAAATGTCCCGCCCCCCCCTGCATCACCCCCTACTCTGAACAAGGGGAGAATCCCTGATGGGATTACATCAGCAGCAATGACCAAGGGAGGAGAGGGGGGTGGTCAGAAAAGAAAAAACAAAGTGGTGATGTGATTCCTCCCAGGAGAACAGCCTGAGAAACAAGGAGGCATTGTTCTGCTCTCTGTCTTGGAAAAACAAAGGGCCAGCAGTGTTCTCACTCAAATTTGCAAGTGGGGATTTCTTTGTGGGGTGGCTTAAGGAATCGGGGTCGGAGGGATTTTAACCTTGTGGAGTGTGGGCTTCCTTCTTAATCAGAAAGCCCATGATCCTGGGAAGCATTTTAAATTCAAAGAGAGCACAGGCTCAGGATTGAAGTGACGTTGGATCTGCATGGAGGCCTCCCCGATAACCTAGGACTGGGTCAGAAAGACAGGTCCCCTTTTCAAGTTGTCCTCAGGTGGAAAGATCTCCCTCATTTTTGTGATTTCATTCTCGGACAAGGTGACGAAGGGCAGGACCGGACGGAAGAAAGGATGGCATCACATTGGGCTGGAAAGGGAGCCATCTCCCTTAAAGCGACTCCTCTCTGTCTGTAGAGAAATTGCTCCAGTCCAGGTGCAAAAAAAAGGTGGCCTTGTTACCAGATCCAAAAAAGTCCAGCTTGGAGAAAGAACAGGGTCAGGCTGGTTCATGAGCTCCTGTGCGTTGTGTGTTTGTTGGAAAACAGCTTGTGCTGGACTGTGCCACAAACAGTCCAAAGCCAGAGACATTTCCCCATCTGATCACATCCTGAGTTTTCATATCTTAAGGGACCTCATCGGCGCTGTTATTAATGCAAGGATGTTTCTGTGCTAAACTGTTGTCACCAAAGATGGGCACGAACCAAGGGCTCGATGGTTCGTGCCGGTTCGCTTATTAGCCTCACAGGTGCTCGGCACTTCAAAGCCTTGCCTCCCACAGTAGGTGCCCGCTCAGAGGCAGTGCCTAGAAGTGGGGCAGGCCAAGCCAGTGTGCTGTCTCTGAGCGGGTGCCCACAGGGGGAGGCAAGGAGTTTAGAATGTTAGCTTCAAGACCAATTAACAATAATTAATAATTATTTACAGTTATAACTCTAAGACCCCAAAAGTAGTTTGTGGGCATCCCAATAATTATTTTTAAAAGTAACTCTGAAGGAGGTATAGTTTAATATTAGGAAGACTTTCCTGATAATAACAGCAGTCCAACAGAGGGAAGCCTCATCTCAGAAAGAGGTGGACTCCCCCCTTTTTGGGGGGGGGAGTTTTATAAAAGAGGTCTGATGGCTCTCAGTCAGAGATGTTTGAGTTGTGGATCTCCAGCCTTGGCAGAGTGTTGGACTAGAGGACTCCAGCAGGGATCCTAACAAATCCACCGTTTTATCTTTCTTCCATTCTATGACTCTGCATCTTCCATTGCTGAGCTTTGACCAATGAGTGTGACTCTTTTCAGGCCTTCCAGACCTCGTTCCTGATCCAAACTACGTCCAGGCATCCACTTACGTCCAAAGGGCTCACCTCTACTCCCTCCGTTGTGCTGCTGAAGAGAAATGTCTTGCAAGGTAACATTTCCTTATTTACCTTCCACCACTCAGAGTCCTCCTGTCCATGGAAGTCTCTCTGTTTTTGACCCGACCTCTCCTTAAAGCTACATCTTGTTAGCTTGGCCCTCTTTCTCATTTACCATGTTTAGAACTGTAATTCCACAGGGATCCCTCAAGCCCCCTGTTACAGCAGCTCCACTGGCTGCCGATCTGTTTCCAAGCACAATTCAAAGGGCTAGTTCTAACCTATAAAACCCTAGGCAGTGTGGGTCCAAGCTATCTCAAGAACTGAGTCTCCCTTTATGGACCTTGCTTGGGTGTTAAGATCATCAGGAGAGGCCTTCCTCTCAGTCCTGCAACCTTCACAGGTGTGTTCAGTGGAGACACGGGACAAAGGCGAGGTAAAAGTATTTTAAATAAATACAGTCCGTCCAATGCTTCTCAATGAGAGAGAAAAAAATTCACCAAAAATCAACGACGCCTCAGAACAACCCCAAATTAAGTTTGCTTACATTTCACAAGCTGGGCTATCGATGCCAAGCATTTAAAACAGGTTTCAAACAGTTTAAGGCACTTTTAAATGAGTGAAAAGAGACATCGTTATGAGTGAAAAGAGACATCGTTGTGCGAAAATTTCCCATAGGAAACATCGTTGTGTGAGGCGGCATATTTTTCAGAAAAAGCCATCGTTGTGTGAATTCATCGTTGTGTGAGGCACTCGTTGTGCGAGGCACCACTGTAAATGCATTTCTACAGGAATCAGCTTGGAGGTTGGCCATTCTACATGGGATGGCAGGTTTGTACGTAACACTGGCTCTTTTGAAAGCAACTTTGGCGTCTTAGCAACCTGGTCTTCTCTTTTTCCAGCACTGCCTACACCTCTGAAGCAACAGACTATGATGTCCGGGTACTTTTGCGTTTTCCCCAGCGTGTGAAGAACCAGGGCACCGCGGATTTTCTACCCAACCGGGCACGTCACACCTGGGAGTGGCACAGCTGCCACCAGTGAGTAGGGAGAGATCTATCCATGGGACCCTCAGGACGCCAGGAGTTGGGTCTAGGAAGGCATAAAATTTCGGTCGGGTTCCGTGGTGTGCGTCCCACAGTTTTACACACTCACAAAGAGGCACGCACAGTACTGGCCTCAGTGTTTGGGAGGGCGCTTCTCCTTGTATCTGTCATGTCTTCTTCATTCAGGGACAGAAGAATTGGTGTGTGTGGCACAGTGGTTAGCGTGTTGGTTAAGGACTTCAGAGATCCCGGTTCTAGTTTCCACTCAGCCACGAAACTCCTGCGCATTTCAAAGGAGAGCTCTGAAACGTTCCATTTCTGAAAAATCGCTTCTAATAGAATCCCCCCAACCAGTGGCCACACTGGGAGCCAATTTGGAAAGCTGTAGTCAAAAAAAACAAACAAGCAAAACCCCAAACTTCCCCAAGTTCTTTTCCTAATGCAGGCCTGGGGTGTGTCCCTGATCCTCTGTGTTCCACCTCCCCAGGCATTACCACAGCATGGATGAATTCAGCCATTATGACCTGCTGGATGCCTCTACGGGCAAGAAAGTGGCCGAGGGCCACAAAGCAAGCTTCTGCTTGGAAGACACCACCTGTGACTTTGGGAACCTGAAGCGCTACGCCTGCACATCGCACACACAGGTGAAAAGAGGGACCCGTTCTGCTTTGGGGCATCCAAAAAAACCCTGTGTCAATCACTGGGGTATAGGCCAGCCGTTCTTTATTGGGATGTGACGAACACTTGCAAAATACCTACTTCTCCTCAGTTTAGGATGTCTTGACACATGACAAGGACACCTGAACATGGAATTCCCAAGCCTCGTAAGATTCCTTGCCTTTAGGCAAGAGCGAGACAAGGAGCACTCGCTTTTTTGTGTCAGGGTTTGGCACAGACTGTTTCCCTGCAAAACTAGCATCCTTTCTCTTGGAGAAGCAAAACAGAAACACACACAGTAAACATGGAACAACTGGCTGTCTATATATTTTTCTTAAAAAAGATACAAACAACCCATCCGATGCTCCCAGAACGTAAAAGCCTGCTCAACAAGGCAGCAACTGCTGCTGTTCTGAGCAATTTGTATTATTCACACACATACACAAAATCCTTCTCATCAGTACAAAAACCCTCTAATGGAGACAGAGAGGGAACAACTTGGCCTCCTGCAGGCTAGGAAAGAATTCTGCAGTTTCTTCTTGGAGGTGAGAATGAAACAAGTGAGGATTTATAGTCCTAGATCTTATTACTAGGTCCAAACACAGTCGATCTATCGAACCATCTTTTTCAGTGGTGGGTCACCAATTGTGAAAATTGCATTGATTTAATAGGTGTGCTCCAGCTGGGATTACCCACTGGATTTAGGTCCTGTTTTTCAGAGCTAAACTCACTGTTTTCATTGGAGCCAGAGCTTGCAGGAGCGAAGCCCTGGGACCCTGAAGAAGAAATGGAGGAGGGTGCCACGCCCCCCACCCCAAACTTCCTTGTTACCTCTGTGTTTAGCCCCAGTCCCACCAGAGTCAGGGGGTGATTTTCTCAGCAACACGTTACGAGCTGCCTTTCTTAGACAGCAACGTATTATTGCAGAGGGTGCTTGTATTGAATAGGCAGTTAAGTCCCGTTAGCTTTACAAAGGATCTGCTCCCAATGGAGACAAACATTGTCAGAACTGGTTTGTTGCTATGGATCAACACAGGTATCTACGCTTGAAGAACTCTCTTTGGGGCCTTGCATTGGGAATTATCATGATGGATGTCTTCAACATCACAATTTTCTACAAACCACTGGCCAAACATATGTGCTGTAAGATCCCGGTTCAGCCTTCCAGAGTTGAAGCCTTTAAGTTTTATTTAGCTTCACCCACAGCTCACATTTTGGCCCTCATGTTTGTTTGTTTGTTTGTTTGTTTGTTTGTTTGTTTGATTTAACTTATGCCCACTCTACCCAAAGGTCTCTGGGCGCCTTACAACAATATCTCTTTACCTACCTTGGGTCGAGGAATCTTCCATCAGTGGATGATTCCAAAGAGATTGAATTGGGAAATCTCTTTACCTACCTTGGGTCAGAGAAATCTTGCATCATCGGATGATTCCAAAGAGATTGAATTGGGAAATGTTTCCCAGATTTCAGCTCCCAGAATCCCCCATGCAGTATGTCCTATGACCATGTTCACTGGAGAATGCTGGGTGTTGTAGTCTCCCCCCCAAAAAGGCAACAAGCCCAGCTTCTGCTATGACAAAGTCACAAGTGGTGTCTTCCAAGCTTCAGCTGTGCTTTTCCTTATTTTTCAGGGGTTGAGTCCTGGTTGTTATGATACTTACAATGCAGACATCGATTGCCAGTGGATTGATATCACTGATGTACAGCCTGGGAACTATATCCTAAAGGTAAGTTCCAAACTTAGAGAAGTTCCTCTTTTTTTGGACTACAAGAATCCACACAAAACTGCCAGCTGTCTGGAGAGTTGTCGTCCAGAAAAGTAACTTTTGCCTAGCTTTGGGAAAGTTGTCCTTCTTCTCTGCATTTCTAAAAGTCAGAGGGCTGGAATTAATGCTGGCGGGACAAGAAAAACCATTTCTGTGTTCTTTCGAGTACTCTCCAACGGTGCCAGAAACGTTTGTCGGATCTGTTCTGCTTGTGTTTGGCATTTGAAATGTTTTGCTGCCAAAATGTACTTCTCCAAACCCCTTGTATATTAGTTTGCATTCTTTGTGGACGGAAGGAAAATGTTGCAGACAGAAGGAACACAATAGACCCATGTCTGTAAAAAGGGCCAGCCGGGAAAAGGGAAGACGCCCCCCATTCTCTCCCATCCCTTCTAAAGGAGCCAAAAGAAACAGCCACTGGCTTATCCTTGAGCAGTGATGATGAGACAGGACCTCCTGCCATGGAAGGAAGAATCCTTAGGTCTTAGGGCTGGATCTGAACCTTTAGGCTTTTCCTTCCACCCCCTGTTTGGTTTAGAACTGTGTGGGTTTGTGTTCTCAGACTACAGTTCCCAGAATCCCCCACACTGGATGGAGGGGTGGTCCAAAATCACAACATCCCCCTGAAACACAGCACTCCCTGAAATAGAAATTGTCTGTCGGGTTAAAACAGGTTCTGACTCTTTGACTTCAAAGCATTCTTCCCTGATGTGGCTCTTTCCAAATGTTTGGATCTTCCGTTCTCGTGCTCTTCCACCACCTCTGGAATTGTTGTCAGTCCCTGGCCAGAAAGTGTTGAAGAGTTTTGAGTTTTTTGGTTAAATTCCTTTAGCTGCACAGTAGATGTGCAGAGATTCTCAGAGCGGAAGAGCTTCGATTTCACCGTAATCGTCCACCTCTTTTCTCATTAACTGGCATTTGCCATCTCAATAACTCACTCTGAGACATTAGTAAGAGAAAGAATAAAAATGCTTCTTTCACTACAGTTGAACGGATAACAGGAAGCTAACTGACAAACATGGCTGCTCTCAGCAATAGACCTCAACGGACTCTAAAAAAGGGGAAATGCACACAGAACAGAGAGGCGGGTCTCTCTCTGAATCTAGAGGCAGGAAAGGAACCATTGGTTAGTGCTGGATAGACTGACAGTCACCCCCACCCAGAAAGGTCCCTCCCAGCCAAATCTATTAAAGGCAGCATGCGAGGTTGTAAAAACTCCAACAGAAAAAACTTCCTCGCCCTTACTTTCCCACCCCGGAGATCAGCAGAAGAGTTTTGTGGTGGCAGAGCAGGCTGTGAGGAGGAGCCTCCAAAGGAGGGGAAGACTTTGAAGGTACTAGCCCCTCACACAACCCAAATATCCCCCCTCTGCTCTTGCCATGGTCACTTCATGTTGCCTATTCTTGGTACCCACCTTACAACACTTCCACTTCCTTTCTCCATATTTATTTATTTTTGGTACGTTATTTCTGCTACAGGTGACAGGAGACTGACCAGTTTTGAACCTCCGAAGCTAATTGACTTGTGCTGTTTTATCACCCTAGGTTCAGGTGAACCCCAAATATATTGTGATGGAGTCAGACTTCACTAACAATGTGGTGAGGTGCAACGTTCACTACACTGGGCGCTACGTGGCCACGACGAACTGCAAAATCTCCCAGTAAGGGTTTGCGTGCATGGATCCCTTTCACGCTTTTCTAGAGCTGAGCTGAAAGTTATTTCCCTGCCCATTCGCACAATGCTTTGAGTTCGGGTGGGAGCTGCAGATTGTGATACAGCTGAGCTTGGGAAAAGCTACTCTCTTAGACTAAATCTCCCAGAATCCCCCAAAAGGTAACTTTTCCAAGGTCTGTGATGGAATGGAGTGGAACACGAGAACCCTCCTTTCATCAAGAATCGGAAGGACAGTCATGTAGGAGGAAAAACGCTTTTCTCTGCTGCCCAACAAGAAAAGTCAGAATGGCTTAGATTGCAAGAGAGTGAATCTCAGGTAAACACTGAGGGAAGTTTTGTGACCATCAGAGCAGTTTGACAAACAAACCTGTGACTTAGAGGGGTGTCCTTAACAGAGTTTTTGAACCCCATTGGGGGTTGTCCCTTAGTGACCATCAGAACAGTTTGATGAACACCCTGTTACTTAGAGGGGTGTCCTTAATAGAGTTTTTGAACCCCATTGGGGGTTGTCCTAGTTCTGGGTCTCTTCTACTGGGCAAAGTGCATCTTGTAAGCCTCATGCACCCCACTGCGATAGCATTTTCACACACCTCAGGGTAACACCAGGCACCACCATGCTCACCAGCATCCACAAAATGTTTCTATGGCTTTTTCAATCATGGAGGCCTCAAGGAATAGCCAATTTGCGTTTGGTCCTACTCACCCCTGGAATCTCCCCCCCCTCCTATTCCTTCACTGAAGTTGAATATATCCACAGGGCTGAAACAGGTTCTTCCCTCTTGCTCTAACCATTATAATCCCGTTGCAGAGTTTTGAATGTTAGTTAAAAAACCTCTAACTGTGCAGCAGAAGTGCAGAGACTTACAGAGTAGGATTTGCTCCAAGTCTCCCCAGAATAGATCACCCTTTATTGTCTCGACAAACCATCTCAGCAGCTCACTCTGAGACTTTGGTAAGAGAAAGAATAAAATGTTTCCATTTACTCACAGTTGAACAGATCAAAAACAGCATACTGTACAAAAATCACTGCTTACAGTAACAGGCCTCGCCCAACTCACAGCCTGCTTCCAGCAGACCTCTGTAGATTACATTCTAACTGCACACAAACTGCATAATTGCTAGCAGACTTTTTAAAAAGAGGCATGGCGGTCTTCAAAATCAGAGACAGGAAAGGAACAACGGTTGCTGCTAGACTGATGGACAGTCACCCCATCCCTAAAAGATCCCTTCCAGCCAAACCCACCAGAGGCAAAACATGTGAGGCTGAAATAACTCCAACCCATCCTACTTCCAGGCTTCCTCAGTGCAACTGGTGGGACCACTGAGAGAAACAAGAGGCTTGACTACCTAGCCGGTTACTTCTTCTACTTAAGCCCCACTACCATGAACAGAGCAAATCTGCCAGGGCAGGTGCTAGAGCGAGAAGAGCAAATGGCAATTTGAACAGCCCCCCTCTGTCTGTCGTTTCGCTTGTGACCACAAGCTGCAGCTTTGATCTCGCCTTCCGCCCGCCGGCCCCCCAACCCGGCCTCTCTGCCTGTTTTTCCTTCCCGGAGTTGACCCAGAGCAAGCCTTCATGCCTCTTAACCACAGGGAACGGGACGGCCAGGATAAACAGCTGCCTTTCCATAAGTGCCCTGCAACCGTTGTTGATCTTGACAAAGGAACCGAGAGGGGAAGGAGAGAGGAAGGGAGTGTTTTCCCCTAAAATTATATAGATGTATCAATGATTTTTTAAAATCGGATTTAAAATGCATTTCTGTCCTTGTGCTCCAGCTAGGGTTTTGAATGGAAAAGCAGGCAGATATCCATGGCTGATTGAGAGACGGGAAGGTGCTGACTCTTTTAATACAGATCTCCTTGTTGGGCAAAAGATGGAACCATCAATGGCCAAGATGCCGACGGTGGCTTCTGCCATTTAGAAAGCAAAATGAACAGACATGAGCTGGATCCAGAAACCCACCTGGTCAGCACCCGCAATTGGATGGCTCTTATGGAGCAAGCACACCGGAGAAGACCAGCTTCTCCGATCTAAACACATGGTCTCTGCAACAAAATGTTCCCATGCAGAGTTCTTCTGTCTGGAAAGAGCCAGCTATGCTCCCCTTCCCTTCCACCTGCATTTTTCTCTCCCTCTCCCCTTCTCATTGAGTCCTCATTCCACAGCGACCTCAACTGGTTCCCAGCTGGCATCATCAGGACTCATGGTCTTAGGTAAAGGTAAAGGTTCCCCTTGACATTTTTTGTCCAGTCGTGTTCGACTCTAGGGGGCGGTTTCCAAGCCATAGAGCCAGCGTTTTGTCCGAAGACAATCTTCTGTGGTCACATGGCCAGTGCGACTTAGACACGGAACGCTGTTACCTTCCCACTGAGGTGGTCCCTATTGATCTACTTGCATTTGCATGCTTTTGAACCGCTAGGTTGGCAGGAGCTGGGACAAGCGACGGGCGCTCACTCCGTCACGTGGATTCGATCTTACGACTGCTTGGTCTTCTGACCCTGCAGCACAGGCTTCTGCGGTTTAGCCCGCAGCACCACCACGTCCCTTTCTCATGGGCTTAACATAAGACTATTTATGTCTTGTGTTTTTACAGCACTGGTCCACCAACAAGCCAGAGCAGAGGAGGCAGTTTAGCATAGGGGAGGCCTAGTGGATACATGCATTTTGGTCTACATTTCACGTGGAGCAAAATGGGGAGGATAGCATCATCAGCATTGCTCCTGAGATGTCTCGTTGCATAAGGCCTGAGGAAAAAAGACCCAGTAGGGATGAGCCCAGTAGGGATAATTAGGAATGAACAGACAACAGTCCACATAGACATCACCAGATGGCTAACACAGAAATCAGATAAACTATAATTGGAAGCAAGAGGTAAAGAAGTTGTATTCTGTCTGCCAAAACAAGACCAGAAATGAAGTTGTATTCTCTCTGCCAAAACAAGACCAGAAGCAGATTGTGGTATTGATCATGAACAGCTACTATCAAACACTAACGTAAAGCTGAAGAAGAGCACTAAAAGAATTCTAGTGCCGAAATATAATTTAAACAACATTCCTGATGAATCTAAAGTCCACACAAATAACGTATTTGCATCACTAAATTCAGTTGACCATGGACTAGAAGAACTGTGGATTAGAACTACAGAAATTATTAGGGAAGGATGCAAAAAGATAACTCCTGTAGTAAAAAAGGAAAGAAAAACCTAGATGGATGATGCAAGAAACATTTAATATTGCTATGGATAAGAGAGAAGCCAAAGTAAAATGTTACAGAAATGGAGTCAGAATCCTGAACGCAGCTTTTAAGCAACAGTCACAAAAAGACACAAAAAGAACTATTGTAATGTCCAGTGAAAATAAATAGAAGAGAACAACGAAAGAGGAAAAACAGGATATCTCTCACCAAAGATCCAAAAAATCAAAGGGGAATTGAAGCCTAGATTAGCAGAACTGAAAGACCAACAGGAAAGCATACTATATGACCAGAAAAATAAGGGAAAGGTGGAAAGAGTGTACTGAAACCTTATTCAGATGAAACAAAAGAATGACAAATTCTTTTGAAGAAGAATCCTATGATGAAGAACCTGCAATTCTAGAAAGTAAAGTGAAAGCTGCTTTGAAAGCAGTGGGAAGAAATAAATCACCAGGGTTAGATGGGATACTGATAAAAATATTTTAAGCCACAGGGTCTAAATCTATCAAAATCCTAAAAAGAGTATGTCAACAAATATGGAAAATGAACAATGGAACACAGACTGGAAATTTTCAGTATATATCCCAGTCCCCAAGAAAGGAGATGCCAAGGAGTACAATAACTATAACACCACGGCTCTAATTTCTCATGTAAACAAAGTGATGCTTATGGTGTTGCAACAAAGGCTTTTAACTTATATGAAGCAACAAATGCCTAATACTCAAGCTGGATTCTGAAAAGGAAAAGGCATATTACAAATACTTGCTGACTACTGAAGTGCACTAAAGAATTTCAGGAGATCTACCTATGTTTTATATTCTACAGCAAAGCCTTGGATTGTGTTGACCATGAGAAGCTATGGATTGTTTTAAAAGAAACAGGTGTGCCTGAGCACTTTATTGTCCTGGTGTGTAACCTGTATTGTGGATAAGAAACTACTGCTAGGAGAGAATATGGAGAGACAGAATGCTTTCCTATAGCCCAAAGTGTCATACAAGGGTGCATTTTATCTCCCTATCCATTCAGTCTATATGCAGAACATAGAGACATAATGCTTTTCTATAGCCTAAAGTGTCATACAAGGGTGCATTTTATCTGCCTATCCATTCAGTCTATATGCAGAACATATTGTACAGAAAGCTATATTAACTTAGATGGAGGCATGAACATTGGTGGAAAAAACATCAGTAATTAAAGATATGCAGATGACACCATATTACTGGCAAAAAGTGGCAGCGACTTGAAAAAACTGTTAGCAAAAGTGAAAGAAGAAAGTGTCAAAGCAGGACTACAGTTGAACACTAACATAAAATCACAATTACAGAAGAACTACATAATTTTAATGTTGACAATGAATGCATTAAAATCGTCTCATGAATTAGCCTGAAATATCCAGGAATTAGACACTACAGACCTAGGAATCCTACAAGTAATAGCACCCACATTTAAATTGGCTCAGCACTGGCAGGCGGGGGGGGGGCTAAAACAGGCTGGTGGCTCCCATGTCAGACAGGAGATGAATCTGTTCCAAATTTTAGCCTGAACTTTAAAAAGAGCTGTCCATGGTGCTGAACCTACTTCAGGGATAGGGTGGAGGTTCTTGAATAGCTAAAACCTGGAGCAGAGTCACTGCCTTATTGTCCCTGGAACCACCACCCTCCATGGTACATTTGAGGCTCTTTCTTTGGTCTAAGCCTTTAACTCATATGTAAGACTAAAGCTCACAAGCCAGTGGTAACCTGCCCTGCCATTTTCATCACAGCCATATTCTCTCTACTAAATTGCCCCTGACTTTTCTGACTGCGCTAAGAGCCAGACTGACCTAAGATCCAGCGCATGGCTGGCCAACCTAGGAGGGTTTCATTTCTCCTTCCCCCTAAGTTTGTCAGAGGACACACCCAACCCCTCCCAAGAAAAGCAGAAATGACCAGGAAATAGCTTCCTTTAAAAAAAAAAAGTAAGAAAACAGAGTTGCAAGAACAAGTTGCGAAGGAGCCCACCTTGTTTTAGGGAAGAATAATGCTCTTTGGAAGGTTCCCAAGAAGTTTTGCCATAGAAGAAATATTAGTGGGGCCCTAGAAGACACACAAAAAAGGTCTTGGGGAGACATGATGCTCAACTGTGCATTAGGTTTTCAGACTTTGACTGTTGAAACATCAGTTTGTGTCCTTAGTCAATAATGAACCTCCCTGTGTAATCTTGGGCTAGTTACTCTCTCTCTACCTGACCTACTTCTCAGGGTTGTTTTAAAGATTAAAATGAGCACCATATATGCTACCTCGAACTGTAATCGGCAGTAAATAAGAGTCCCACTGTATTCAGTCAAAGGGCCACCACCCAGTTTCCTTCAGGTAATCTGAAGTTATTCCAGATCAACAAAGTTCTTCATTGCACATGGACCTATGTACAGGGTTTTCAGCTGAACTTGAAAAGCTATTTATCAGATGCCAGTATGGCGTGTGTATCATCAGACAGACAGACAGACACAAAATCCCAAACCAGAGGCCAATGTGGAATGAAAATGCACATAATATCCCCATTTCAAGCTGCCTTTAAAAAAAAAAAACCATTGCAGACTTACATAGCATAGCAGCCGGTGAAACCACGAGTAAGCCCATTATAGTAGCCAGATAAGTCAATACATTTAAACTCACTACATTTGGCCCAAGACATATTGGTTCCTGGACAAAAAAATAAGATGGTGCCCGCTCCCATTCCATATAGGAAAAGCCTCCTGAACTGGCATAGCTGCTGAATCTTTCTTTTTCATGATGGGAGAACCAGCTTACCAAAGATGATGGTAGCAGCCTAGCCTAGCTGATACAAGGCATACAGCTTAGCCCACCATTTATGGCTTCTGGCACCTGAAGAATCTATTTGACTCTGCCTAATAGTCAGACTGGCCATGGAAATATTGCAGAGCAGAGCAAACCATGATAGAATGGGAAACCATGATAGAATGGGAAAACAAAAACCTGCTTGCCCTTGATACCTCTAAGAGCTCAACCTTAGATTTAATCCCCTTCTTTTCTTTCTACAGGTCTTGATCCCAACCAAGATGGAATAAGGCTCCCTTCCCGCAAATCCAAACATCTCTCAAGCAGGTGGCCCCCAAAGAGGAAATGGCTTGACGTAGGCCAGCATCTACAGGAGATGGAAACTGTTCCATTGCTTTGTGTTGAGTTAAAATGAGAGTTGTCACTTCAAATACTTTTATAAATATATTGTTTTTAAACTCAAATTTTCTTCAGAAGTTAAGACTGTGGATCATTTCAGGGGTGGGTGGTGGGCTGCATCTGGGTGTTCTTTGCAGAGGGCATGCAACACGACTCTTCCTCTGTATTGCCAGGCAGCATCAGCATCTTCAGAGGACATTGTAAATGTTCTCACATCCCTGTTCTCCAAGCGACGAGAAGCTCCAAGGTTTGGCTTCCTTCTTGACATTTTATAGTGGGTCATCTTTCTCTGCCAGTTACCACATTCCCTTACAGGTACTGTATTTTTCCATGTATAAGACTATAATTTTGTCTAAAATCTTTAGACTAACAATTAAGGGTCGTCTTATACAGGGAAGTAAGCTGAGGAGAGAAAAAAACCAAGTGGAGGGGAAAGCAGGGATCAAAGTGATCCTGCAGGGCTTTGATCCCTTTCCCCCTACACTTGCTAAGCCCCACTTAGATTTCTTAATTTTGGGTTAGAAAAGTGGGGAGGGTGTCTTATTCATGGGGGCATCTTATACACAGAAAAATATGGTAATTGTCAAAGGTGGCCAGCTGGTGGGGCCAAAGGCAGAAGCTGACAGACCCAGAAAGTGTCTACCTCTTTCTCTCTCATTCTTTCTGCTTCCCTATTTTTCTTTCTCTTCTTATTTCTTCCCACACAGTGAATTGGGAGGGGGGGGGCACCCTGTGACTTTGTGGTTGAGTAGATCCTGGTGCTCTACTGGGAGTCTGTCCTTTCCCAGCCTAACGTACAGACTCCAGCGCAGTTCCTCCCTTGCACCAATTACAAGATGTAACACACACACAGCTGGGAAGAGATGTGTCAGGGCTCTGCCAGACCATCACATACGCCTTCTGTTCTTCAAACCACACACTGCTCCTGTAATTGGACACTAATCCTCCAAAATAAAGAGCAGCCAGCTTTCCAAGCTGGGGGGCCTGGGAAGAACGGCTCAGGGCAGAGACTGTCAAGAATGATCAGAATGTGAGGGCCGATTCAGCACATTTCTTCCAGAGTTAACCCTTCCCTGGAATGGCAAGTTGCATTCCCATCGTTAGTGCAACACCATTGATGTGCATGAATAAAATCTCTCATGAGTTGGGCTTTCAAAACGGGACAATTCAGACCAGGAGTGCTTAACTTCTGGTCCATGGGGTCTGCGGGGGAAGTTCTGTGCCTGGGCTTCAGAGGTTCCACGGACCAGACACAAAAATAGATACCCCTCCCTTCAATTTCTTTCCCATTACTTTGAAAACCATCCCTGGCCAGACATTTACAAGAGCTATAGTCACTGTTGTGAATGCTGGTTTTCGAGCAGAGTTCAAGAGCTAGGTGTTTCAGATGTGGCTGGTCTACAAGACCCATCATCCTTCTCCACTGGCTATGACAGTTATGGCTGCTGGGAGTTGCAGTTCAGGAATTCAGGGCGTGCTTTTCTGTTTCTTTGGATTCTAACTCCCAGAATTCTCCAAGAACCCACCAAGTAAAATTCAGGGAGTTTCTGCACCCAGACACACACCTGCAAACGCCTACATTTTGCTCACCCACCTCCAAGTTTGCATGTTCTTCTCTGGACTTGCTTCGTGATCTTAATGGGGGGGAGGGAGAGAGAGCTGTTTCCCGAGAATTATAGTTCTTTGGAAGGTGCCCTCTATAGAGTCTAAGGATCAGCAAGACTACAACTCCCAGGAAGCACAAACAGGGGGAAGACATGCAGCCTCAGAGGTAGGCCCTTCTCCAGGTAAGCAAAGTGTAGGTGTCTTTATATGTACGTTGGTGGGCTGAAACTGCCAGAATTCTGCCTGGGGAATTGTGCAGGAATTCTGGGAGTTGGAGTCCAAAAAAAAATCTCTCAAAGAGTGAACCCCTATCAATTACACCTGAAAGGCCCCTTGTGCCTCATCACTGCACATGGACCATTCATGGGGAAGACCAGCGGAAGAGAGAGTCCTATCTGTTGATTCTGTCCATGTTCTTCTCTACGGCACCTGGTTGGGCACTTTGGCCCCCATCAAATTGTGCCAGAGAAGTCTTTGGTTTTATCCAACCACGCTACTGTTAAGTCTGCAAAATTTCCATACTTTTATCGCATAGATCAATTTATTAACACATATTTATTTCTCAAGTGTCTTTCTACAAATCACACTGGAAGCAAAATCCCTATGCAGACATTTAACATCAGGTAGATGACCTACAGTGGTGCCTTGCTTAACGAGGATAATCCGTTCCAGCGAAATTGCTGTAGAGCAAAATCCTCATTAAGCGAAATAAAAAATCCCATTGAAACGCATTGAAAACCCATTCAGTGCCTTCCAATGGGCTGAATAACTCACCATCCAGCGAAGATCCTCCATAGGGGCAGCCATTTTTGGTGCCTGTAAAGCGAGGAATCCGTCCAAAAACACAGCGGGGAGCCATTTTACACAGCGGGTGGCCATTTTGAAGCAGCCGATCAGCTGTTTTAAAAATGTTGTCTAGCGAAGAATCTGTTCCCAAAGCAGGGAACCGATCGCTGGGAAGTGAATTTTCACAAAAGCAATCGCAAAACAGTCATCGTATAGCAGTTTCGTCATTTAACAAGGTAATCATTAAGCGAGACACCATTGTATCTACCTGATGACTCCCTGGAAAAGACCCTGATGTGCAAAGGCATGAGTAGAGGAAAAGGAAAGTGCAAAGGCATGAGAAGAAGGGAACGACAGAGGATGAGATGGTTGGACAGTGTCATCGAAGCAACCAACATGAATTTGACACAACTCCGGGAGGCAGTGGAAGACAGGAGGGCCTGGCGTGCTCTGGTCCATGCAGTCATGAAGAATCGGACACGACTTAATGACTAAACAACAACAACAACAGATGATCCACATGTAGAGTGGAAAACTCTCACCCTCTCCTTTTATCACCAGTTTTGTTGTTGGCCTTCTGATTTTCCAGAGGCCCAGCTCTTATGGGGAACAGACACTTTCCCTCTTCAGACTCATTGCACTCCATGTGGGAAGGTAGACTAGTGTGCGCCTCTCTGAGAGTGACCCACTCCATCTGGTTTGAACCCTCTAAATACGCCTAAAATTCCCCAAAGTAGAATGTAATGTAGTCTTCAGGATGCTACTCACTTTGTCCCGTTATACCTTCTACCGATTTAGGCATTCCAGAAAGGGCTCATCTGAAAGTTTCCATTTCTGCTCTGAGCTGGGAGGAAAGCTCCGTGGTTTAGGTCTCTGCCTGTGGATCTAGAGGTTGGGAGTTTGGTTCCTCGCTCTGCTTCCAGGGAGAAGAGCCAGCCTGGGTGGCCTTGGGCAAACTGCAATCTCAGGATGATCCCAGAAGAAGGGAAGGACAAACCACTTCTGAGTACTCTCTACCTAGGAAAGCCTGAAATGTGTCACCATAAGTCAGAATGGATTTAACGTGTGATTGTGATTTTAAAAAACCATCAGGCACAGTCAATCAAAATTATAGAAACATTGACTGGTATTATATAACAGATACAAGTTTTAAGCCAAAACCTATCTGTTAAATGTCAGCGCAGTATTTATGCTGTTCCTTATATTACTATTGTGTGTTTTTTTTAGCTCTGATGGCATTATTTCTGAAATCTGCAGCTGCTTATAGTACTGTGTGAAATTTCTTCATATTGTTCCCGAGGCCCCAATGACTACAGGCACCAATGAAGTGTGTTTCTTCCAGAGGCAAGATGTTTCGATTGCCAGGTCTCTGTACTTTGTTAGTTTTTCCTATTCTTTATTTTCAGCTCTGGCATCCCCTGGAATTGCAATGTCAATGATCCAGACATTTCTTTGTTCTATTTCTACCATGTCTGGTGTGTTATGTTCAAGGTGTCTATCAGTTTGAATATGGAAATCCCACAATATCTTGATGTTGTCATTTTCTGACACCTTTTCTACCTGATGTTCCCATGGGTTTTTGGGGGCAGGAAAGTTGTATTTTTTGCATAATGAGCAGTGCACTAACTTTGCCACTCTATCATCTCTAATTTTGTAATCTGTTTGTGCAATATTTGTACATTCGCAGATGAGGTGTGACACAGTTTCATCTTTTTCTTGGCAGAGTCTACATTTACTGTTAACGCTAATTGGATCTTAGCTTTCATCACATTGGTTTGGAGTGCTTGTTCTTCTGCAGCAAAAATCAAACCTTATGTTTCTTTCCTAAGCTTCAACCATGCTCATGCTGAATTATGATAGTGCTTTCAATCAATATTTCTCAGGTGTGCGTGTAGTGGTTTATTGTTCGAGCTGTTCAATTTGTTTTCAAATTGTTGTTTCTTATACTGAGTCTTTGTTCCTGTTTTCAAAATATTCTCCCTTTTCACCGTCTTCAGTAATTTTTTTTCTACGTACAGAAATAATCGTTTAGGCTTCTTTTTTCCTCCTCTGCTACCTGCTGTATTTGCAGTAATCCACAGCCAATGATTATGATGGTGGGGGTGGTAGTGGTGGTGATGATGACGGTGATTCCTGTTCTTGGGAAAGTCTTTTTAAAAAAACCAGAATGTCCCTGCATTCCCAGCCTTGGATTCTAGATTGAATTTGGATTATATCTTACAAAATGCCAGTTGGGAATGATGGGAGTTTGTGGCAGGGATGACAAGTCTTTGAGTCTGAGTCTTTGGTCTCAAGTCAGAGTCCCTATCGAAAACAAGCTTTTTTTTCCCTCAGGAAAAAAGGGAGAGGGTGGGTCGATTCTGAGTCGCAAGTCAAGTCAGAGTCATTGTGGGGGGAAACTGAGTCAAGTCTGAGTCAGCATTGACTGAAGTCCAATTTGACAGCAAGTCCCTCAACCAGAGTCCCCATCCTTGGTTTGTAGCCTCTTACCTCCAGAAGGCACCACGATGGTGAAAGGCTAAAATGGATGCCCTTTCTTTCAGAGGAGTGCCCCGTGTAAGGTAAAAACAGGACACCCTCCTTCCAAAGCCCAGCACATCCAGAAGGCATGCTCCTTTGCTGCCTCCTAAT